AAAGAATTTTTACTTGCAATATCTGTTTAGAAAGCTAATCCATTGATAAATCCCAACCACAGTCAACCTTCTGTATTTTTCTGCCACAGCCATGCATACTTGTCCCAAATGTTTTCACTCCCATAAGGTCAACTTTCCAATCATGCAAAGTATAAGCAACATATAACAAAGAGGATGTATAGCCAGAGAGTCACTAGGAGAACACAGTGTAAACATACATCTATATTTGTTTCTGAGAAAACTTGTTGCAAGCCTAAACTAAGAGGTACATGAAACAAACAAAGGTTCAAAAATACAAACATAATGCAAGATAGTCAATCTAATCAGTTGCAGAGACAACAGCAGACAGAGGTCTTCCCTTCCATCCTCCACCCCCTAACTTGTGTATACCATGAAGGCAACTTCTAAGTTCACTGAGAAGGCTCTCCAGTCTTCATAAAACTTATCTAGCATAGGAGACCTGAAAGTATTTTATGTATTTTCCACTGATTTTAATGTTAAGTACTTTTAATCTCAGAACTCTCTTTTTTTTGGTAGAAAAAAAGTAATAGGGTCTCCCTAGTAACTTTTTTATTAGCCTCAATTACTTCAGTGCTTCGGAAAAAATACTGGTAATACTTGAAGTCAGAGTTCATGCAAACACAAAATTAAGATAATATGCATGTTCTTAAAACCCTAAATCCAGATGGTCAGCTTAACCACCGGATGCTGTTATCACCAATTTCAACAGAAAGCATGTATCTTTGCAAGATTAGTACCTATGAAAGTACAGAGTCCTGTACAATAGCTTTCCAAGCCCAGGTAGGACCTTTCAATATTATTACATCTAGCAATATCAGCAAACATTGTAGAGTAGCATTATAGACAGTATTACTAAACACTTCATTCTCAAAAAAATGCTGACTTATCTCTGTAATTTTCCAAAACACTAAACTATTTTGATTTAAATTGTTCAAAGATAAAATGTAGAGTAACATCTTTTTTCTTCAGTGAAGAACAGACCTTTTCAAAAAAACAGAAACAAAAAAACAGCAAAACAACAACTGCACAGTATCACACAGTTCACCCTACCAACAGCAAAATTCCATTGCAGAACAAGAAAACCAAAGTCCAGACTGCTAGGATTTTGATCTCCCCTTCTCCCCAGCCAAAAACTCCCGTAGCCTTTCCTTTGAGGCAATTCTGGCACTCATGCAATTGCCCACCAAGCACTCATGCAATTGCCCACCAAGCCAATGCCAGGAGCTGACCTATTTGTAAACTCACGTGGCAAAAAAAAAAACAAACAAACAAACATACATGGGTTTTCATATGTAAACTCTGGGCAATCTCAAAGACAACTTCCAGTGCCAGCTTCCTCTCATAAGAAGAGGTCAGGCGTAAAACCACCATGATGCAGGGCATGCATGCACTCCCATATTAGGACTTGCTTGAAAATAAAATATGACTAATAAAATAAATGAGTAATCATGTCAGACACACCTTCCTTCCTCCTGGACAGTTGCTCTGTCCCACCAAATAAGATTGCTTCAGGAGAGTAGCAGTTGGGCACAATACCACGAATAGCTGACCCTCTGCGTGGTCAAGTGACACGGAGCAATGAAATCACTCTCAGACTGTGAACAACCCAATTTCAGTACATTTTACACTGCTCGCTGATATAATAGGAAATTTCAAATTCATACATGGAAACAAACTATTTTAAGACAACCCATGAAGTATATCACTGCCCCATCAATAACATATCATTTGAATTCTTCACAACACCAAATAGCTCCACAAAATAATGACAATCCTCTGGTCAGTTCAGGCTTCACAGAAAAGTAGACAGCAGCAGGACAGGGTTTTAACCTCTCTCGCTACCCTTTTATACTCATCTGATGCTTATCTACCCAGGGTAAATATAGAGAAGGGAGAAAAAGGGAAGGAGGAAGAGAGGACTCCAAGGCAAAAACAAGTCCCAAACTGACTGAATCCCATGAACAGGATGGAGCTCAAAGGGACACCGATACCTCTGCCTTCTCCCAGAATATGGACCAATTACCCCAGCACAGTCCTCTCACCACCACCACTCCCCTCATTGGTGCCATACAGGGAACTCTCTCGCTTTCAGATACATCTGGGAGAAAAACAGGCACCACTGGCTCTGAGGATGGAAAAAAACACAGTTTGCCTCCATCCCCTCACATATTTTATATCTGAAGCAGGTGTGCAAATAACACCATCCTGACTCTAGTAAAAGACGTGGAGGTGAAGAAGCATTCAACCTAAATCAGATGGTGCAAGACCAGCATCAGTACCTGATAGCTTCAACTTCAGTTTCACTTAATTCACGAACAACATTTTACTTGCTACTGTTTTTGAGGTAGAGAAGGAATGTTACTCATGCTCTGGTGGAATGACTCTGTATGTTTGCAGGAAGAAATATGTCAGAGTATTGCCAGCCAGTAGAACAGCAGTAAGGCTAACAAAAAAAAAAAACACAAACCAAACACAGTACTTTTTCTTTGGTTTTAGCTATAAACAGGAATAAACACCTTAACATGCAGAACAGTTATGTTCTCTACCAAGCCATGGAAATGTTTAATGTGTGAAATTACTCTTCTCACATTACAGCTTTGAGAAGGCACCAGGCAAGTTCACCAACTATTGCAGATAAATTTCAGAGGTTACCTAAGAAAAACGACTCAGGAGGTACTGTAGCACCACCTGTAGTCTAAGGAGAGCCCTACAGTGAATTTGGCCATAATGACAACCACACAGAATCACCAGTACTTCTAGCCTAGTTTCCCTGCCTCAGAAATTCATGCTGTTCATGTGTCTTCCAACAATCTGATTTAATTAACCACTACTGGCCAAATATGACAAAGAACCCTTAACATGTTGCTACAGATCTTGTGAAAACAGGTGGATAAATAACAGAAAAGAATCTTGTAAATGCTGAACTGGGAAAGCAGAACACAAGTTTCCATCTTTTTGGACACCAGAAAAATTTTATTCCTGAGAACTCTTGCAAACAGCCCTACTGCAGAAAAAACTTCAGGCAGAGCACACCCTTCTGGTTTTGCCAAAGACAAATAAACCACAAGAGACTAAACCACATGAAACAAGAAGTCATTAGTTCCAGCGCTTATGGAACTATTTATTTTTTTCAGTGATCTCACTGGCCTGGCAAGGCACAGGGAGGGGTGCTGATGCTCTTGCGGAGCCTGGCAGAGCAGATCCTGCGGCACTCGCATTAGGTCTCAGTTCCAAGGCAGTTTTAAACTAGGACAAGTTTCCTTGTTATAAAAGACCAGTGAAAACACTGTTTTTCTTTTGTTTTTAAGTGAGTAACCTCTTCTAAGAGTATAATGCTCAAACCTCTTTGCCAAGCTGACTGAAGTGATCTTTAAAGACCATAAGCTGCTTCCTTCCTCAACAGTCACTACCTCATTTGTTTCTTGCTATGTCTCATGAGAGTGCATGAAGTCCAAAAGCATTCAAAACACCCTCCAGTCTCACACCTGAATAACATAAATACCCACACAGTGGGATCCAGTATGACTTACATAACATTCAGATTTTTTTTTCCCTGGGTAATTTAGTAAGCTGTTCTTTAATTTGTTAAAAATCATAAAAGATTTATCACAAAACACGCAGCACCAGAAGCCACATCACAAAACAGCAATCACACTCTTGTTAGCAGCTGACAAAATGATCTAACTAGAGCTGCCTGGTCTGCTTAAAGAGAGGAAGGCACAGGTTGCAACTCAAGTTTAAAAATTCAGCATGCTCAGTTTACAGTTTTCAGGCAAAGACTGTATCTCAACTCAGGGCTCAAATAAATACTAGTGAACACAGACTCAGTTTCATCAGCAAAAGCCCTACTGTACAACAATGAACTAGATATATAGGGTCTGAACTAAAGCAACTACATAATCTTAGTCATGCTGGTATCAATTTTTCTCATCCAGATAATATCATATATATATGATCATCAGTAGGAACCCTCTGGTCTTAAAACCAGTTATAATTTTAACAGACTACTGACGCAGCATTTGTAATGTTTGTGTGCTATCTAGTTTCACTAAATAACCAAAGACTAACTAAATCTGCAAACCTATAAAACGCACCACTAGCAAACCTAAATTGGATTATAGTATTGGTTATTACATAGAATTGTTGGCTCCTAAATACTGTTGCAACCAGAGCTGAGAAACATTAATCAAAGATGACTTTTTGTTTGCTATCAAGAACTGCAGGTTTTCTCCCTCACAGCCAGTGAAAACTATCCTAAACTTAATTAGGCATATACCCAAAAAATGAAAGCTAGAAGTGTGACAACTGAAGCTACTATTTGCCACGGACAGTTTAAACCCAATGCTTACGAGGAAAACTGCAAGTGCATAGTTTTCATATCAGTCTATTCACAGGCTGGATCCAACCTCAATTTCAATAAGCAGATGCTTTTCATCAATTTTACCCTAGGAGTATAGAAGAGACTGTAGCCAGGATGCATAAATCAGGAATACTGGGAAAGTTGCAAGAGCAGTATGGTAAAAAAAACCCACAACCAATTAAACACAACAAACAAAATACTTTGACAGCTCTGAAATGCAACAAAAAAAATAAATAACCAAGAATGTTTCCAACAAGTAACTACTGTATGTTACACCAGGGTGCACTTCAACCAGAATCTGAAGAAACAGAATACTGATTCTCTTCAATTTACTTATATAGATGAAAACAGGATTATTGGGTTTTTTTAACTGAGTCAAACTGTTGATAACATATCTACAATTACAGCTCAGCCATGAAAACTGAGATACATCTTCTAGATTTTCAAAGGCCTGCAAACAAAAATAGGACAGGGGAAAATTGAGGTATAAAATTTGAAGTGGCAGGACAGGGAACAAAAAGTCTGGTAACTGTTGCTGTTGATAAAGGCCATAAGCCTTTGGAAAAATACAGTCATTTATGATTAAAAATAAATTAAAACATGAAAAGATCACTGAAGATCACATGAGTACATATTAAAATTAAATAGGCTAAAGTCACCCTGAAGAGTGTGATTTTTAACCGGTATAAACTTTTTTCTCTCTGCTGAAGTATTATTCAAACTTTCAAAGTTTGTAACAATCAACAATAAGACGTCATGCTAAAAGCCATGACAGCTATATGGGGGAAACATTTTTTTTAATCTTCCCCTTATATCAGCTACCCTTGATCCTCACAAGCAGTGTTCAAATGTGTCAGGAACTTACATAATTAACTCAGGTTCAGCCACCGCTTATCACCCCACACGCAGCTTAAAGGCTCGCTGGGAATCAGAGCGGCAGAGGTCAACTGATTGGGCTACCAGCACACAGCAACAAATCTGAGTTTGGCAATCGCAGCAGCCAGCACCATCACCCACCATGACAGCCTCGGAGCTGCGCGCTCCACAGGCTGCTGCCGTCAACAGCTGTCTGCAGTTTCCAAGGCGTTACACCATTCACGCATCTGTAAGGCTCTTTCCCAACACTTCCTATGGCACCCTGCCATTTCCACACGGAGAACTGCAAGATCTGTACGAGGTCCGCCACCGAATTACTAAGCACTCGTCCTTGCCACTCAGTGCCTTTGTTTTAAAGGCAAAGTGTCTATGTAGTGGAGGGTTTCCCTGCCCATGGGCAGGGGGGTTGGAACTAGATGATCTTTGAGGTCACTTCCAACCCTAACCATTCTATGATTCTATGATTTTTCAAATACACGCTCCTTAACAGGGACTCAGCTCGATAACTAAAGCACGTAGGAAGACAAAGTTTCACTAACCCGTTCTTACTAACATATGCTGTCAATTAGCTAAGGCAGCAGAAAACACATAGGCACCACGCACTGCCAGTCAAATCTTCTTACAGCTAAAGCAGCTCTCCCGAAATGCAGCTGCACCCATTCTATTGCAAAAAATAAACAATATTCCGACAAGAACACAATTCCAAATTGTCATCATCACGCAGCTGCTGGTAACACAAAGAGCAAACAGGATTTTTCGGTAACCGTCTCTGCATCTGTTAAAACTGAAAAACAAAACGGTACCCAGTCAGAGCTGCTGAGCACCACACACAGCACAACTCTGGACCCAGCACCTCTGACTCCTGTGGGGCAGCAGTGGGTTTGTTTTACCTGCGTAGCACAAGAGAACGTGACAGGGCTCCTGGACCAACAGCACAAGGAAGGAACTACATTAATCAACCTGTAGCACTTTGGGAAACTAGGATTAGACAACCTCATCAGGGAAAAAAGACAAAATGAACTGAAATTCTGCTAAAGTACAGGACCTGCTACCTGGTGTAAACTCCTAGTGTGTTACGTTCCAACATTACGAAAGCATCGCACACTCCTGGTTTTTTAATCACCTTCTAAAAATT